ACTAAGTATTTTAGTATATGGAAAATAGAGAAGTAGTGTTAGTATATTATCAAGGAAAGGAAAATCTCGTTCTTGGAATAACTTATTAACTTTCAGTTACGATGACTCTGGCTCAAGTATGATTGATCTTTACTATTAAGTAGTTACTATGACTAGTTCTTTGAATACGCGCCGAAGTAATTTATATATCTTAGAATGCGTACTAGAGACGATTATTGTGTACTTGAGTATTTAGAATGATTCTGATCTGATTAGATAGGGGACTATGCTGGGGTGATTGTAAGCCATCTCTATCTATCTATGCCGAAACCTCTCAAGAAATGCATCGAGAATATTGAAATCGAATTTGAAAAGTAGTAAAAATTCACGATGAATGCTGCATGAGTCCGGAAGTAGACATGATATATCTGAAATAAAGGTAGGCAGAAGTTTATTCAGAGAAATTAAGATGGTAAATAGTATGTGTTGAGACTCAGACATAAGGTAGCCAGTATGAACGAAGAGATAGTAGTGCAGAGAGAAACCCAACAAATGCCACGCTGATTTATGAGCTTTTCCTATTCCGGGATCCCCAACACCGTAACACCGCTGATATGATGATGATGATGATATGAATCGAGACAAGGGCAGAAGCCCGCATAAATGGTTTGAGAGAAGATCGAGAAGAATGGGAGGAATGAAATGACCCCATGTCAGGGTCCGGGGGTATCTCAAGCGACAATTAAACGTAATGATGCTTCCATCGAGAATAATGCTGCGGTGCGCTGCTCACAGCACACCGCCGGGCAGATTGATCTGTGCCTGTCGTCCCCCCTCAAAGCCGGCACTATTCGGTGCAGACCCTCCCCCGGAATACATGCTGCTATCGATGGGATGGGCCTGCTTTCGCAACATAAACATGGGCTTGCGTCCTTCCTTTTCGAGCTGTTTGAATAGAATGAGTGGTCGTTCCTCGAGCCCAAGACATCGTTCTTGATCACCGTATACAATGTATAATGCATATTGTTTCCAATCCGCGTTGATGTTGTACTTTTTGAGTGCAGCCGGAAGGACCTTGTGGCATGGATCGTCCATCGACACGCGGAAAGACTTGAAGATTTCCACACTAGGTGGATCCTGAGTCGCCCTTGAGTCTGAACGAGTGGGGATGTCGGGGCGCGTAGATTGTGTTGGTGTGGGGTTTAGACGATCCGGCCGCGACTGTGACGCCGCGGTATCGTCGTGGTGGTTATGAGAAACATGGTTTATGCTGCTGGAACTCGGTTGTGTATACGCCCGGGAGGCTAGGGTCTGTGGAGCATATTGATTACCTGGCGAGGTCGGGGACGGAATGCCTGGAGATAATTGCGACTTGCCGTTCAGCATAGTCAAGTGGGAGGAATTCGCGGCGGACGGATCTAACCCATCGCTGTACATGCGACCCTCGTGGATCGACGGAGGAATATGGGTAGGAGAGTTGGTTTTGGGTGTAGTGCCGCCAGTGTGGTTACGCTTGGAGAAGGTTCGAGATAAGATACTTCCAGAGCGATCCAACAGAGTGATTCCGGACGACGATGTGAGCGTCGGCCCATCATGGTATCCTTCCGACCCGGATGCCGGCACAGAAGAAGGCGGGGGCAACGGCTGCGACTTGTCTTTCGCCATCTTGAACACGGGCAGAAGCTCTTCGCGCAGTCGACGATATTCCTCTGCAATCCGTCGCATTTCTGACTCCATAGACATGATACGGTCATCTCGTACGCGGATGGACCGAATCAACCGGGAAATATCGTCCTGAGTGGCGGTTTCGTTCATACTTTGGTCCGCGGCTGCCGAAAGTAAAACACATTAGCAAGGGGAAGTCACAGGCAGTACCTGCACACAAGGAAAAATAGTGGACATACAAAGCGGAATGTAGTGATCTGCATCAATCGGAATATCTTGCTTGACTTTCGTTTCGTACACACTCTTCAAGATAGTCAATCGATGTCCCACACTCGCGATCCCCATCTCCTTGAGTTCATCATGCTTCAAAGCAATGAGCGCTTCGCCGACAATTTCGTTTTCTATTGTAACACAAACACCACGCAGTCAGTGCCCCGGAAGTCTTAGCGCCTTTATTTTGATCCCTTTGAACTCACCTAAAAACGCGGCGCAGTATTGACGAAGACCAAGGGCGGCCACAAAGTTGGCACATTCCTCAGCAGTCCATTCCGTGATGATTGTTCGGGGCGATCGGGGATTCTCGTCCACATTGGCTAAAGTCGTGGGAGTATGCTCTGCTGACGGGAATTCTGATTCGGAAGGGGAGGCCTCGGAGTCGGTGGCCAGATGGGGGGAGGTAATCACGCTGCGCTCGTACTCGTCGTCCGCATCCGAGTCGGCATGATAGGAGGTATGGAGAGACATGGCGAATGAATTCATTCAAGTACCGGTGACGACGCCCGGAGACACGTAGAGAGGAGGGGGCTGGGGAGGACGTCGGACCGGCTAGCAGACTCAGCGAAGCGCCAGCCTCTAGACCCGTGATAAGTCGCCAAAGATTGAGCACAAAGGACGGGTCCGGTTGCACAGAAGGCGTTGAAGTTGTCAATCACGGACTAACGACCCGGATGAAGAGTGTTGGGAGCCGTACTTGGTCGAGCAGGCGTGCCACATGAACGGGAGGGACGGAAAGCGGGTGAGTTATGAGGACACCGACAGTGAAGATGGTCCGAAGGTGCGAAGCGCGGAGTTGATCAGGAGGAGGAGAGTCGAAAGGACGGAGGTTATTATGAGAGAGAAGATGTGAAAAGAGCTAGTGGAGAGGAAGAAGGCGTAAAGACGAGGTCGAAGGTACGAGGAAGCATGGAAAGCAGCCGTGATGGAAGAGGAGCGGAGGGGGGATCCTGAGGCCAACAAGGCATGCAGCGACAGCGAGAGCGGGGAAGCTCGGCCAACTTCTGGGGGTCCAACCGAATGATGAGATGGGCCAAAGGGAGAAGATGATGATGAACACCCTCGTTGATGAATAGCTGGTTGGGCGATAATAATGTGAAATCAAAGACCACGAGGCAGGGCGACTGATGAACTGGGGTGTTCAAAAGAAGAAAGCGTGGACATCCACAGGCAGATGAGAGGCAGCGATGGACTGGACGAGAGCAACAGAACAAGAAGCTGGTTGGGCGCGGAGTCCAACGAACCGCCGAACGGGAAAATCAAGAGGCGCTTCTAAAGTTGGATCGCCACACGTGATGCCGGTCTGGACTCTCCGCTGCTGCTCACTTTCCTTGTACATCCATTTTCTACACAGACAGTTCAGGCATCTCCATTTTTATCATCATCCCAGTGGTTCAAATCAATATCCTTGATCTTACCATATGATGGGGATCCATGGCATCTACGGAATCTACTGTCGGCCGTTTATCGGCTCAGTCCGACCCATTCTCTAGTACTGGCTCCGTTAATGGATCCCTCATCCTTGCTTCGTTCCCAGCCCAGATGCTGGGCAAAAATCACTTGGTGACGCATCTCGCAGACAACGGGCGGATAGTCCAACCAGAAAAAAAAAAAAAAAAATAGAAAAAAATCAGGGTTGAAGAAATTTAATTAAAAAAGGAGAGCCATCGCCGGATCCAAGCGCCAAACAATTCCTCCAAGCAGAAGACTGAAAACTGAGAAGAACAAATGGTGGAAACGGGGCCCCATCCCCTGGCTGAAGTTCCGTGCGATTAATGAGGACACTAACGAAGCGCCCATCCTAGTGACCAGCACTATTATCACACAAATGCTACTAGTGTCGATGACTCGATGGGGGTTCATGCAAACCAGAAGCATCGCCCGACAGGCTTAACGGCCAGTGGACAGAGGGGGTTGGTTATGCCCACTATTATTCAAGCCAGGCGCTGTCAAAATTCAATAGTGCCGGAGCCTTGACGTTTTCGGATGCTCTCTGGGTCCGAATCCTCCGCTGTCATCGTGCCATTCGTTCCCCATCTTGTCGCTGAATTGTCGATGAATGTCCATGCAAGGACAATCCACGGCTCCATCACAGAAAAAACTCTTTTCCACTCGTCTCCATCATCTTCCTCCCCTTGCCCCTTTTTTCTAGCATTTTTTTTTACCTCCAATCCACTCGAGCTTGGATGGCCGGTGCTATATTTAACTTTCCTCGGATACTATCGCCGAAGGGCTTTGTCTCCGTGTGCCTGACTCTCCGAAGAAGTCTATTTGCACCATCGATATCCCCACCTCAGCTAGTAGATACTAGATAGAGCTTACGTATAGTCAACGAGGGTTCTATGTGTAGGAGCGAATAATTCGATTTCTAGAGCTGATTGTAGATAACGGCCGAGTCTAAAGTCATGACCACCGAATTTCCACTGTTGCAGCTGAGAACAATTCATATCCGAACGGGTTCAATGACTGTGGAGCAGCCTGGGCAACACAGCACGCTTGTGTTCTACTATTGAGCCGCCGCTATTGAGGCGGCAGTATAACACAAACAATCTATAACTTGAATAGTCTACTCACCAACTCAGGAGATTTTCCATCGGCCACGCCGATCCCATCAGACGAGGACAAAATATCCGATCCATAGTAAGTAACAGCAAAAACATCGCACGCATGAGAAAAGCCAGCACCCTACTATATTCCTCACCCCCTCACCGTGCGCTGTCCACATGAATCAAGGAAGCAACTACTAAGCGCCCGGATCTGGTCCATCCTGCATTGCATGTGGACGACGGAACAACGGAACGATACCTGCCTTACCTCGTACATCTTATCAACATCCCTCCCTCGCTGGCGAAGCTAGTACTAAGAACCAGCCATCCCGCAATCATGTGTCTTCTTTTATTTTTTTTCCCATCCGGTTGTGTCACCTCAATCCCTGGCAACTCGCAGCAAAAAACCTTACACGAACATGTGGGTGTGAGCCAGCCAGCCATCGTTCATGCCTGCCTCCTTGTTGCTTACATGCAGCAAGTACATAATGGGAGGGATATTATTTGTGCCTCGAGGGTAGTGGAGCCCCATGTATGTATGTATGTATGTCTATGTAAGTACCTAGTTATACTATGTATGTTTATAGTCATATACCCACCCCGGCGCAATGATTGCATCTTGGTCAAAGTCCATTCGATGCGCCAACCGCCGTTGGTGATGCTATTTATATCGGATGTACCCTGAATAGCCATGTTCGGGATATGCCTCCGCGTTCTCTCTCGCGCGCGCCTATTCACGCCTATAGTAGATAACTACATACGGGAGGAGATGCAGTGTGGTGTGATGTGATGCGATGCGATGCGATGCCAGGCGGCTAACCTTCCGTAAGAATATCCGTTGGCTTTCTGTGACCGGAATTATCTAGGGCGTGGCAAGCTTCCTGCATCGTGAGGAAACCTTCAAGGGCCCAGCATCGCTTGATGATATCTTCAAGGAATAAAGGGTTCGTATTTGGGAGTTTGTCATCGGTCGGCCAGGTTTTACATGTCTTGGACACTGGATCATCGTCTAGGTCGGTCTCGATGTCGGGTATAACGCAGAACTCGAAGTGGTTTCCAGAGATAACTTCGTACATCATCGAGCCAAAGCGCGCAATGTCGGACTTGACTGAAGCGAAGTCTTCAGAAATAAAATCTGCCATGTCTTCATCATCCGCGACAATAGTAGATTCGGTAAAATCGCACATGTGGAGAGAAAGACCCTCATCAAGCAGGAAATTGTGTGTCGCAATATCGACAACAAATACTCGCCGCTCGTGAACACGATGGATGATATGTGCAGCTTCCTGGAGCCATTGTAATCGTCGACTGCTGTCCACAAGTATCATGGTGAATACGTAGATAGCGGCTCAGTGAACCCTGGCGTAGGTATGGCATTCGAATCTCGGTGTCGGAGGTGTGATAGGGCTTTATTGCTCCTGGGACATGCCCAAGATGGCTGTACACATGCCTTTTATGTTTTAGAGATTGCTTGTTTAGCTCAGTCGTCTGCTCGTAGCTGATAATCGTCGTCTCGGATGCACCCTTAGGGACAGTCCAAACATTGGCCGTTTTGACTGCAATGTCTCCGAAGCGCATCACGCGTCCAACTCGGCCAAGTCCGATTAGCTCGGAATCATCGTTATAGCTCATTATAGATGAGCTCAACGAAGATAGTAGCTCTGTGGGTGGTGTCTAGTCTGTTGGCTGCAGGAGTTGTGCGCATAAGATAGAGCTCCAGCGGTCATGTGCAGCAGCAGCAGCGAAACAGCTTCGCCGTGAGAGATACCCTACCATTTGCACTTCACGTAATTAACCCTATTATAAGCTACATTCCTAGGGCACTCCAGAAATTAACGACAAGCCTGACCACATTCATGCCATGACCTCTCAACATGGTCATTACTATATAGATTCCCGCTAATCAAAAGCGGCAACCCATCTTATCGGCGGTTCCTGCGCTGACCTCCGACGACCGCAAGGCTCGCCTTTCCCCGGACTAGGATTATTCTTCGCCCCCAAGTTTCTCCTTCACCCCCCCTCCTCCCCTTCTTTCTCTACCTTTACACCTCTTGGTCCGACGCTCCCTATCACATCGCGAACCAGACAGGTAAGACGCAGAAAAATAAACCCCCCCCCCCCCCCCCCCCCGGCCCCTTGGATACCGCGAAAGCTACCCCAACCCGCGCAATCTTTTCCAGAACCGTAGTTAGTACCCGCTAACCGATCGCGATCGCAGCTATTGTACCCTCTCGTTTCTCACGAGCAAGAGTCGCACGCTACTATCGACTTGGGGTTTTTATATATATTGATACCTGTTGCGCTAGCTCAGACTATCCTATCTCCCTTGTCTTGGTCGTTTACCAACCCACCGTCTATACAAAACGCAAGCGCTACACCTGGTTCCCGCTTCGCGCCGCGCCCACCTACCTATCGTCACATCGACTCAACCACCATTACACTACACTATACGACACCAACCCTCCACCCCCTCAAGAAACCAACAACACCAACAATGCCCTCCTCCTCCTCCCCCAACCAACCCACCACAACCACCCCATCCACCACCACCGACCTCGAATCCGACCTCCTCCTGCACCTAACCAGCACACCTGCGCTCGAAGACCTCCACGCCACACTCCTCAGCTCACTCCAACGTCTCGGCTGGACAGAACGGATCCGAAAACTCGCGCAGGAACTCCTTCGCGGCGGACGATGCGAGCGATTCGACGAGGTATTCGAAGCGGTAGTAGCGTCCGCGGAGGGGAGGAAACATCCTATCCTTGCGGAGGCGAATAAAGCGAAGCAACAAAGCAATGGGAATAATAGTGGTGGGGACGAGGATGGTAGTAGTGGCATTGGGGATCTGGAGGCGTTTGATGTGAGGATTCCGTCGGCGGTGGTGGAGCAGGGGGTTAGGGCGTTGAAGGAGGTGTTGAGGGAGGTGGTGGTTGCGGAGGATGGGGGGGATATTTTGGGGGACGTTGAGAATGGGCATAAGGAGGAGGGTGGTGGTGGTGGTGGTGGTGGTAAGGGGTCGAAGAATAGTAAGGATGGAGGGGGGGATACGGCGAGTCCGGTGAAGAAGGTGAAGAAGGAGTCGAAGACGGGGAGTAAGGTTAAATGATATGTGCGTGTCTGTCTGTCTGTTGATGTGTGGTGTGGTAGTTCGTTTGGTTTCGTGGCTGGCGTGTTGGTTTGGTGTTTTGGGTTGGTTCTTCTGGAATACTTCTTGTCAGGCTATTGCTTACGGCGTTGCTTTGGTGGCTTACTACGGACGGCGTTGCATTATCCTGATACCAGCATGGGCATGTATGCATGCCTCATTATTTTGTACAACAGTTGGGGGTTGTCTACCAAGACGTGCAATTCATTTACTCTTTAAGCTTAATATTATGGTACTCAGTATGCGAGACAGATATTCGCAATCTCAGAACGTGAAAGGAAAAGAAAAGGAAACTGTAACCCAATAGGAATTTCGACCGGGGCTATATCCCGGCCTCAAAACCCGCTGTTTCTAAGTAGTAGTAGTGCAGATGGATAACTAACTTGGAAGGATAACTAACTTGGAAACATGCAACCAATCTAGTCATAGAGGCTGTCGTCATTGCCGGCTTCACCAAACGTGTTGTTGTCCGTCACCTCACCCGCCGACGGGAAGCGGAAGAAGCTGCTGCCACCCGAGTTCTTCAGGCTCTGGGCAAATGCCTCGTAGCGACGGATCTCCACGTCGCTGACGGAGCGTCTGGCCGACTTCATCGCCTCCTCGAAGTGCGCCCGGGTAAGCTCCGGCACCGGGTCCTCCTCCTCGACCTCCTCGTCCTCCATCTTGATATCCTCACCCTGAGCCTCACGCTGCTTCTGGCGTTCAATGTCAGCGCCGATGGACTGCTTGATGGCGAGCTTGACGGCACGCTGGGTCACGAAGCCAAGATCAGCACCGGAGAATCCGTGGGTCTTGCTGGCAATGAAGGAAAGGTCGATGTCGCCAGCGATAGGGGTCTTGCGGAGCTGGGCCTTGAGGATGCTCTCACGAGAGGCCTGGTCGGGCAGAGGAACGTAGACCAGGGTGTCAAGACGACCAGGACGGACCAGGGCGGCATCAAGCTGCTCGGGTCTGTTCGTGGCACCAATGACGAACACGTTCTTCTTGGAAGTCATACCGTCCATCTCTATTTGGAAGTTAGCAACTACTCAGGTACAATCGAGACAATTAACTTACCAGTCAGGAGCTGGTTGACGACACGGTCAGAGGCACCGCCGGCATCACCGACAGAGCCACCACGGGACTTGGCGATGGAATCCAGCTCATCCAGGAAGACAACGCAAGGAGCAGCGGCACGGGCCTTGTCGAAGATATCACGGATGTTGCTCTCGGACTCACCGAACCACATACTCAGCAGCTCAGGACCCTTGACCGAGATGAAGTTGGCAGCACACTCGTTGGCCACGGCCTTGGCGAGCATGGTCTTACCAGTACCGGGAGGACCATAGAACAAAACACCGCGGGAAGGAGAAAGACCAAACTTCTGGAACTTCTCGGGGTGGTCGACAGGGTACTGCACGCTCTCGATGAGCTCGCGCTTGACCTCCTCCAGACCACCAATGTCCTCCCAACGGACGTTGGGCACCTCGACAACGGCAACCTCGCGGAGAGCGGAGGGGTTGGAGACACCGAGGGCGTAACGGAAGTTCTCCATGGTAACACCCAGAGAGTCCAGGACCTCCGCGTCAATGGTGTCCTCGTCGAGATCAATCAGATCCATCTTCTCACGGATCTGCTGCATGGCAGCCTCAGAGCACAGAGAGGCAAGATCGGAACCGACGTAACCGTGGGTCTCGGCGGCAATGGTCTCCAAGTCGACATCATCACCCAGCTTCATGTTCTTGGTGTGGATCGAGAGGATCTCCAGACGGCCAGTGGGGTCGGGGATACCGATGTCGACCTCACGATCGAAACGACCGAAACGGCGGAGGGCGGGGTCGATGGAGTTGGGGCGGTTGGTGGCGGCCATGACAACCACGTTGGAGCGGGCCTTCATACCGTCCATCAGGGTCAGAAGCTGAGAGACGACACGACGCTCGACTTCACCGTTGGTCTTCTCACGCTTAGGGGCGATGGAATCGATTTCATCAATGAAGATGATGGCAGGGGAGTTCTTCTCGGCTTCCTCGAAGGCCTTGCGCAGGTTGGACTCGGATTCACCGGCCATCTTGGACATGATCTCGGGACCGTTGATCAGGAAGAAGAAAGCGCCGGTCTCATTGGCAACAGCACGAGCCATCAAAGTCTTACCGGTACCCGGAGGACCGTACATGAGGATACCACGGGGCGGCTTGATACCGATGGACTTGAAGAGCTGGGGGTGGCGAAGGGGCAGCTCGACCAATTCGCGGATCTGAGCCATCTGCTTCCTGCAGCCACCGATGTCGTCGTAACCGACCTCGTTGAGGTTGCCCTCCTCATCCTCGCGCTGGATCGGCTCACCCTCGCAGTGGATGATGGTATCTTGGGCGACGATGCCATACTCTGGGGGATCCACCTCGACAACCTTGAATTCCACTTGTCTCATACCACCTCTTACTGTGAACAGGTCTCCCTGTCTCACGGGTCTGTAGGCTTCGCGGAAGTAGGGGGCGAGGTAGACATCGAAAAGGGATCCAGTCAGGCCCTCAACGGTGTCGGCGATGGGGAGAACGGCAATACGCTTGGCCTGTTGGTGAGAACAAGCGAGGTTAGTAAGTCGCCTGGAGAACACCGAGAGCAGTAGAACTCACGTATTTGATGTCGGGGCAGGGGTGGACGGTGATGATATCGCCGTGCTTGACACGCAGGTTGTGTCTCACAACGCGGTTGATGCGAGCGCTTCCATCATCGAGATCATCATCGGCCAACACAATCAGAACGGTGTCCTTGCGCTTCTTGCCCTTGACGAGGACGGTGTCACCCCGGAACAGCTGGAGGGTGTCCATTGTGTTGTTGGAGAGAGCAATAACGGAGTTGTCATCGTTGACGGCATCGGTGACACTAGCACCCAGACAGTCAGTACTCAACCAGTATCCCCGCACCAAGGCCAGAGCTAGCTTACATGAGGGAGTTGGGCTTCTTCTTCTTCTTCAAGATAGCCGTCGAGGTGTCGAGTTCCTATTTCGCGGTGGTTGTTAGTATTCGCCATCAAGGTCCCTTCCCGTTCGGCAGACAAAAGTCTTTACCTCTTTCTTGTCGGCGCCGGAGGCGTCACTGTGCGATGAGGTTAGCTTCTTGGAACGATGGTGAAGTTTATGCCAGAGGTTCCATCACGTACTGGAGGTTCACCCTCTTCTTGTCGTGGGTGTGATCGGGTTCGGCGCTCATCTTGAGGGGAAGCTGGATAAGGCGCGTAAAGCAACGTAGACACTTGGGTACGTATCAAGGACTGTCGCTGTACCGGATTTGGTGAAGCTCGGCAACAGGGACAAAGAGGATAATGAAGGGGGACGAGAAAACGAAACAGAGATACAAATCCCACCAGACCGAAAGAGATGGTGGAGGGAGGGGAGTAAATTGAGAGGATGAGATAGGATGGCAGAGGGGGGAGGGAGTTGGAAGTGAGATCGGAGGATGGCAGAGAGAGAGCTCCAGTTAAGAGGTGACGATAGTGCCAGGCCCTACCGGGGCTTGATGACTTAAGCTGTTGCAGATTCACGAGCCACCAAACCCGGTTGCCGCCACCGCCTGGGGAGGAGAGAGAAGCGTATGGAAGCCGGTCGTATCCACTCTTGATCATCCCCCAACTAACCACTACTACGATTAACTAGTATTTATCTGGGGTCAACTAATCATTTAGGTGTTGCTACTCCATCGTTGCTTTATAAGCCATGATACTTTGCACAAAATGAGTCACTGTGGCTGCTCCCCCCTCACTCTGTTGTGACTGTCGGGGATATGCGTGTGCATTACACCGCCCGGTAACACTGTGCCTGTGTCTGTACCTCTGCCTGAGGCAGCTATCCTCCCTGCATGCATGCACAGAGTGCTTCTATGACAGCCAGGGCATGGCATCAGTCAGCCTGGACCAGCCCAGGCTGTCTCTGGCTCTGCATCACCATGCCCAAGGCACTGTCAGGACAATAGCCTTGTGGTGGGCGGCGACTGCCTTGCCGGCAACTTGCTGCCTATGAACGGGACTTCCCTATTCGGCAGACAAGGGTATACATGTACCATCGAACTGACCAGAGCCGTGTGAACCTGTCTTCCGCCCAGTTGGCAAGTTCATCAGAATATTGCTCCCCTATATAGTGCTATGTGCACACAGGGCTATGTTTGCACGCCCGGGCAACAGCTTGACCAGTTCTGGTGACTCGAACAAATGAGTATTCACAGCAACAGCCTGTCCAACATGGCTATCAGTATATAAGTTTTTGTTAACGGCCTTGTATAGCTATATACCCATCACCTATCCATTGCCATCTCTTTAGCTAACCGCCCTCATGAGTGAACGTTAATCACACTGAGACCATTGTCCGCAATACAAGACTCTCTCTCCATCAGGGGACCACTGATACTACTACTGATAGATCGTTTGCTTGCCTCATTGATGAACTTGGCCCACTCTAATAAATCGAAGTCATGGATGATAAGGCTGATTACCCCTCGGACTTCCTGCAAGCACGAAACAACACATTGACGGACGATGAGGTAAACCACCTGGTCGAGAAGCCGGGCTGCGCAGCTCGCTTCGTCTACGGAGTCCTCATGCTCCCCACCGCACTAAAATACTTCCTCGACATGCCGCAGACCACGGACATTGCCAAATGCATGATGCACGCAACCGTGTACGGGTTCAAGCTCTATCACTTCAGCCCGGACAGCACACCCGTCATGCTGCCCTCAGAGGACCCGCAGCACCGAGTCGAAGGGATGCTCATCCTCGGATTGAATGAAGAATATCGCAACAGGATCTACGAATATGAGAGCGGGCTCATGAGCCTTGTCGATGTGCGGGCACATGTCACTCAACTGGACTCGTTCGAGGGCTACGATATTCGCAGTGTGAGAATTGTCGATGCGGGGGCGTTCGTCTGGAACCAGGAAAAGGTGGACGAGGGGATGAATGAGCTTCCGTCGACAGAACAGGGTCTGTATAC